TAATATTAAACAACTTCATATTAATTAATTTAATAAGAAAGATGATACATGAATTAATCAATTTTCAATCATATACATTCATTCATATACAGTTTTAAAAAAAGTACATAGTAATATAATTCTTCTTCTGAAAAGGATATACATATAACAAAAGATATTCTAATTTTTCTAATTTTCTAATTTTTAGAGTTTTGTTTCTACATTAAGTTTCAAAACAGACAAACGTTCCAATAACATATGTTATCCTGTCATTAAACCCAGTAATATTAATGTAACAAATAAAGTTTAATAAAGTCTTTACATCATTTATTTTGTATGATCCATTATATCTGATAAGATAACTTATAAGTAATTAATTTCTTATTACGTGTGAGTGACGATCGAAGAATTTGCACAAGTATATAAAGTAGATTAAGGGAAATATTTGCGTTACAGTTGGCCTTAAAATTTTACTTCACAGCCGCTATTAAAAGTACAAAAAAATGTTATTCATAAAATTATTTGTATTGACGTTAGTATGCGTCCTTAATGTACAAGAAATTTATGGCCATGGAATGATGATGGATCCTGTAAGCAGAAGCAGTGCATGGAGAAAAGGTTTCCCCGTAGAACCCAATTATACCGACAATCAGCTTTATTGCGGTGGACGCGGCGTATGTATTCAAGATTAAAAGATTTTTAATTGCCAAAAGTTTACTTCAATCCAATTACGATTAATCTAATTCATTTGACTAACTCATTCGACACGATTGATTTTAATAAAATTTTTAAACTAATTTGTTTATTTATTTTTTTCATATTTTCTCGTACCACACAACAAAAAATTAGTAATTCTAATAAAATACTATAAAAGATACTAGAGAAATTGATTATACAAATTAATTGGATCAAATGCTCTCTTATATCTCTCTTTTTTATAATTAAAATTTTAATTTATTATAATATTTAAAGACATAACAAATTATATAATAATATTTCTTATCGAAAATTATGGATATCCTTTACAATGCTATTTTATTGCTTATTATATTATATTAAATTAAAAATAAGGAATAATGGTTCATACTTCAAAAAATATAGACATCAAACTCTGACTTTTTAATTAATTTTGGAAGTTTTATTGTAATAAAAACTTCAATATACTTTTGTCAACTTATTCAATTTTGTATTTCTCAAAACAATTTTTGAAAATTAAAATTTCGAAAACTATAAAAAGTAAAGAAAGAAATCTTAATAATTTTGTTAATTAATTGCAATAAAAAAAAATCATTTTTAACAAACATTTAAACAACGAGTAATGCCCTCTGTAATCTATTTTTTTAAATTCATCTCAGCTTATTATATTGATTGCTTATTTTTTACATCGGCTGAAAAATAATGTGTTGTTCAAAATTTATCTGATATTGCAATAAATATCGCCATGTTCTTTAAATCGAATGGCTAAGACATCCACCCGGAAAATGAGTTATCCAGAGACTTTATTCTCGAAAAATATCGTATGTGAAAATAAAATATTACGTATATTATAGATTTTCGTTTGCGATGTACGATGTGATATAAATTCGAGAATACCAGGCCAAGTTCGAGTCTTAGTTGAGATGATATTTTTCACAATGACAATTTTCTGTAAGACAAAAGAAGAGAGATAATCAATTTCAAAATTTTATTATATATTTTATTATATATCGATTTATTAAAGGGAGAAATTTAGTTATAGCTTTAAATTGCTGCATTGCAAGTTTGTTAAAAATAACGGTACATATATAGCAATATGATCAATTGTTCCGAATTTATGAAAACAATAAAGATAAATTATTACACACCTAAGATCTAGTCCATTCATCGAGTAATATCTTCTATGATCTAATCTTCTAATAAACGTTTTTATTAGACTCAACATGAGAAAAATGGTGGCAAGTGTGGGGAATGTGGTGATGATTACGCTTTACCTCGACCACGACCAAACGAAAATGGCGGTACCTATGGAACAGGTGTCATCGTTCGCGAGTAAGTAAATTATATTATATTAATAACATTCTAATAAATTTATTTTATAATTTCAAAATATTTCAAAAAATTTTTATTTAAAGATATATATCAATTTCAAGGAGTTTCAAAGATAACATTATTCCCATAATATTTTACTAAAATGGCTATAATAACTTTTATTCTTATATATGATATTTTAAGTTAATCTATCTATTAATCTCGTAGAGAAATATACATATTCGTAAGAAAGCTTTTGCAGCAAATATTACTATTTATTGTGATTTATTTAATAAATCAAAATATTTATAGATAAAAATTGCTGATATTATCATATCACTTTGTTTTTGAACTATATTTTTTAAACAAAAGCTAAATGAAGCTTTGGAAACATAAATTAGAAAAATGTCTTCTACCAGATAATGTAGCAATTTTTATAATATTGTTTTGTATTTTGCAATAATTAATTTTTTCATAAGATAACTAAAAATAGACATCTGAGAAATTATGCCTCAAAATTAACAAAGTGCAGTGATGTCAAAATTCAAATATGATTCTATCACAGACTTTTGTATTTAGTACTAAACCATTAACATTGTTATTTTGCTGACAAAATGTAGCAGATACTTTATCAAATTTATTTTCGACAAATTTAGATATTTAGGATATTATAAAGAAAATGTATTCCACATAGGTATAAGGCAGGTTCTGTTATTGATGTCACCGTTCGTCTTACTGCTGCCCATAAAGGTCATTTTGAATTCCATCTTTGTCCTCTAAAAGTGGAAAAGGAATTAGAAACTGATGAATGTTTTGCTAAATATCCCTTACCATTGGCTGACGGTAGTGGTTATAAATATCCCATTTCCTTCAATGCCAAGGATTATGTCATCAGTTTGGTTCTTCCAAAGGGTGTCACATGTAAACAATGCGTAATCAGGTTTGGATTGAGAAAATTTTATTTAATTTAGATTTTATTAATCTTGAGTATTTTGAGACAAAATTTTAATGCTTGTTTAGAAATTATAACAATTATATTTGACTGTAAAAAAAATATTTAATATTAAGAATTAGATTTATTAAAGAAAAATAACAAATTAAACATTTTTTGAGAAAAGTTAACTTTAAGTTCATTAAAAATTAAATAAAATAACAGATTATTTCTTTTATAGATGGCATTATCGTACTGGAAATAGCTGGGGTGTTTGCGAAGACGGAACGAAAGGCATGGGTTGTGGCCCTCAGGAAACATTTAGAACCTGTTCTGATATTTCCATTATGAATTAACTTGTCATGAAACTTCAAATTGGACCTTATTAGTTTTATCATATCGGTTAATAAAACTTTTTATGAGATTTAAACTAAATTTTTTAATAAATAAAAAAAACTTTGATCTAATTAGGATTTGATTAAGAAGAAATAAAGAAAATAAATAACAGAAAGAACTCTTAAATGCAAAAGAAATGCTGAGATATAGGAAACTGATAAGAAATATGTGAAAACTTAACTTGCTTTCCAAACTAATTTTAAAGTAGATCTTACTACATTCAGAGCCGGATTTTTGATAAACACATTTTTTTAAAATGTATAATGCCTCAAATGGAAAATAATTACTGGTAAGATATTGAGCCAGTATCAATTTTAGATACTGAATATTAACGCGATACTAATATGCTAGTACTGACGCAGTACTGTTGAAATGCTAGGTTGATATCCAGCAATGGGCTAAGATTTGAATTATAATACTATTACGATACAAGATTGCAATACCATAATCATATTAAAAATTACCGAATTTTCTATATTGCAACAGTACCAAATATTGATATTGATTCCTAATAATAATAATAACAATACTTATATTAAAAATCGAATGCAAAATTTCAATATTATAATAATATAACTATTAATATATAATAATATAACTATTATTATATATTAATATCAATAATCGTTATTAGATTTTACTAGTAGTGCAATAATACTGCATATTAATAACACATTCACAAAAATGTTGTTTGTCAATAAGAATTATTTATACTATAATATAAATTCCAAACACACAATTAATATATCTATATTAATAAGATCTATAATACTATAAGATTTATTAAAATGAATTGAATTCATAATAATCATCTATGTTGTTCCGGTCTGCTTTAGTTTATATTAAATTTATTGAAGAATTGTAGGTTTATGGATAAAGGAATATGAGATGAATAGTAAATTGTTCCAGTAACAATTACTTTTTCATATTCCATTGCATATATATCAATATTATTACATTTCGCATATGTGATTGCGAAAAATATTGAAAATTCAGTAGAATTGCATTCAAAAGAATTGCAGTCAATATTCGCTGGTACAAAAACTTAATCTATATTACTTTACAATAGCGAGAATGCGTTTGAAATCGCATAACAGTTGCATAGTTTGATAATTAATGATAATTAAACATTATCGATTACAATTGTCTTCGTGATAATGATTACATAATTAATCTGTCGATTCCCAGAATTCTTTATAATTTTAAAGATTTATATTTTAATATTTTCGGTAAAATAAAAATTGATGTTTTTTTAAAGACAAAAATCAGATCAAAATTTATGAAAAGATGCTTATCTAATATAGTAATAATTTATTTATTTTAGGGATTATGGAGCTGGTAGATTTTTTACTCAATTTATATACAAATTTAATACACACGTATTTATATTATTTAATTATATATTAAATTATATATATTCTTCTTATATTTCAAATTCCTCAGCTTTCAGAAATATTTTGTAAATCCAAATAAATAAAAATGATTATAATCAATTTCTCGTTATTGTTACTGAAATAGAAATTTGGAAATCGATAGATTAATAAAGAGATAACTAAAATCAAGATTTTTATCTGCGATCTCTATATCTATGATGATCACGAGAAGAGCGGTGATCGCTGTGCCGACTATGACGGCTAGCTGTCCTCCATAGGAACTCGTCGACGCTTCTTTCATAACTGCGCTTTTCCAGTGCTGATGCTGTCGCGTTGTAATCCGGAGGCAGTGGTAGACCATCATAATATCTGAAAAAGAAATTTTCATTTAATTTTATGCAAGTAATAGACATTTTTGTTTGATCCAATGTTAATAATTTTTATTTAATTTTAAAATTTATATTTTGATTTAATTTTAATAAAAAAATTCAATCTAATTTCATTTAATGTTATCATATCTATATTTAGTCTTTTATCTTATGCAAAATAAATATTTAACAAAATATTTAAAAGATAATATTAAATGAACATTTCTAATGCAATATTAAACCAATATTCTTACCTTGGAGGTGGAGGAGGTGGTGGCAAAGTATCATATGGATGTGGGCAATAAGGCGGTAACGGAGGCAATTGATGTTGCATGGTACGCATGTAATCTGCTACATAAGCTTCTGCAACTGCGGCAACACCCAATCCAGCTCCATAACCCCTAAAACAAATTAATTATTGCTATATAGGATAAGCATCTTTTCACAAATTGTGAGCTGACTTTTGTTTTTAAAAAAATATCAATTTTGTAAAATAATATATCATTAATAGTTTTCAGAAGCTATGTCTATTGTATAAATTTTAAATAACCAAGAATAACCGGTATTGATAATCGTACTTTGTGTAAGGTGAATCGCCTCGATTAAACCATGGCATGTACCGATAAGAATGATCCCTGGAACTCCTATGATTTCCTGTAACATCTTGAGATCCTCTGGCTAATGATGCTAAACGAGATCTTGAAGTCAAAAATAATTTGCGCCCTCGTCCTCCTCTTCGTAAGAATCTAGAACTGCCTATGGGTCTTTTGTCACGATAACGTGACGATTTTATAACGTGTTTCCCTGCTTCTTTAGATTTTCGCAAAATAGGTGTCATTTCGATTCCTGCAAGAATGCATGAAGGTCATCATCATTTTTTTAAATATCAGTTTTTTTTAAATATGATTCCTTTAGTTTTTCTGTATAGAAATTTCAAAATAAAGTTATAAAAATATTAACATTAAAAATATTAATTTAAAGAGGTATATTTTATTGTATTTTATTTTGTAGTATTTTGACATAAAACATAAAATATTAATCAAATATTATTAAATCTTATTTTATAATTTTATATACATAATAATTTTTTATATACATAATAATTTTATATACAATTTTATATACATGTATGTGTACACACGCGCACGTGCCTACACAATATGCATATGACACACAAATACACACATACGCCCGCGAGCACGTACAATTATGAATTATATATGCACATATGCATACATCTATCCATATAATGCAGAATTTTATATACTACACACACACACACACACACACACACACACCACCCCGCGCGCGCGCACACATACACAACTAATTTATGAAACAAGCTTTAATAAATATTTGATTAATATTTTATCAATATTTTTAGATAACATCCATATATTATACAATACACCTTCATCTTCCGGAAATAATCTGCATAATTCTTCAGCGACTCTGGGCTCGATTTCTTGACCATCTCGACCAATCTTGACTTGTTTACCATCATTCCAAGGATTATATAAATGTAATGTAGCTGTAAAAGGCAATTCTTTCCTGCAGATCCAATCAACCTTAAATACACCACCTAAAGCCTTTGCTGACAATCCAGGAGGCAAAACCTAAAATATGTTCTATTATATCTCTTTTTATGATATATAATTAAGAAAAAACAATTCAATCAAATAAAATTAAAATCAATTATTGTACAAGGAAATTATAATTATTAGAGTATAACATAATAATATGTATCATTTATTTCAAGGATGATTGCAATATTAAAAATTAAGAACCTTCATATAAACATATACTTAATTTGATCTTAGTTTCAAAGTTTAATGAATTTTGTATTGTAATAATTCACCTAATAAACTGATCTAATAAACTGTAATGTACCTAATTCTGTTCACAACACCTGTTTACAAAAAATACTGGATATTTTAGATACAATGTTGTTAATTACTCTATAAACACTATTACCTAATGTATTAATCACTTCAATTCATACTATTGATAAGAGTAATTTTTAGTAAGTATTAGAAATATATAATAAATGTTTGATAAATGATAAATTATTCAATAAATTATTCGATAAAATACATAATTATTTATATACAGATCCAAAATCACTTTCTTTTCATTTCAGCTTTTTTTAAAAGATGACAGCTTCCATAAAACAAAACTCGCTAAAACTTGAAAATAAAATTGAATTGGACATATGTTTAACTCTTTTTCTGATGTCAAATCCATATACACAATTATATTATACCCTAATATAATTGTAAAATGTATTATATCATTATATTTTATTTTTACCCAAGAAACTGGACCAGCATCTCTTCTTGATTCTGTACTAAGTCTTGCAAAACCGGCAAACTTTCCTGATTCTTTCACAGAGAATATTAGCAACACATTTCGCGATTCTCTATATGCTTGATTCAGATTTGCTTCGTTTTGTGGCAGCGTACTCCATACTCCTTTAGCTTTGGACAATGTCACATTCTCTGCATTGTTGGACTTGATGATGAAAAATCTAACAAAAGAGACTTAAAAATATTTATTTCTAAATCTAGATAATCTATCAAAAATATACAATTTTGAAAAAAAGTTATTCTTTTTATATTATATAAAGTATTTTTGCTATAAACATATAACATTGTATAATTCCAAAAATATTCTATTTTATTGAATATACATATATAGATTTTGTAAAAAAATCTTAAATTATATATGTAATATGTATATTACACATATATTATACATATACAAGATTATTTTATAAAGATGTTAAATAAAATATAAGGGGCTATTCCCAAAATCAAAACAAGAAAAAAATATGGGTCAAGAAATACTCTATTTTTTTAAATACAAACTCTGAGATATGGTTAAAAAATACTTTTTGCAAATAAATAATTCCATTAAATGTAAATTAAAATTTGAAATTTGAAAAGAATGTCTATTTTAGGAATTTATATTACTAAACAAATATTTTCAGGGATAGTTTTCATCTCAAGAAAAGATGTTGGAGATCAAAAATAAAATAAAAGATAGCTATATTTTTTATCCTTAAAATGGCAATATTTTTTTTTTATCCTTACATATTTGTTTACTATCTTTATTGTTATAATTTTTAAGTCTTTTTTAGAAAAAGAATTCTTATGTATATCTTCCGAGATAAGCATTTTCTTCAATATACATATCTCTGAAATAAAGTACTTCTAGATATGTTTATAGAGCTTTTTTTGTCATTTTGATCTAGACAATCTTCTTTTAAATATTTTAACATCTTTTTAGAATATCTTGTAAATCTAAACTATATTATAATTTAACATTAATTATAATTTAAAATTAAGTCACATTTAACATTTAAAATTAAGTCACATTTAACATTTAAAATTAAGTCAATATTTAAAAAAATTTCTAAAGAATGGAATTTTGTATAATATACAATTCATAAAAACTGCAATATTCTATAGCTACGCATTGCTTTTATCGAACCTTGCATCTCTAAACAAGTAATTCAACTTGGTGGCGTAGTCATAACTCTTGGTAGTGCCCTTGCTTTCCTTAGATCTTGCCCGCTTTGATTCAGGACTAGATGATTTAGAATCCCTGGATCTGCCTCTCTTGCTTCTGTTCCGTCTGCTGCGCTTATTATCACCACGTGAGGACTTGCTGGAGACTGAACTAATGGTAGGATGACTGGAGTCAGAATTGGAGCTGCTAGAAGAAACTTCACTACGTGTGTCATATGTTTCATCTGCAGCAATCCTTAGCTCATCGCCATTGTCATTTTCGCCACAGCTGAGATTAAGATTGTCACCATCCATATTGCTACCCATAGCTAACCTGGACTATCTCTCACCGTCTCTGGATCAGATGTTCTGCAACGTATAGACGAAAGAGAATTTATTATTGCATCACGAGTTGCGCAGGGACACTTTGGCAAGAGGAACGACGTATCGTAACGTTTCTCGTACATCTTACGATAATAATGTAGTAGCAAAAGACTATATAGTGTACAGCAAGGATAGTTCAGGGGTTCCGAATCAAGCGAAAAGTCCACACTGTCCTGAAAACTTTTGCTTAAACCGCCTATGCGCGTCATAATGACATCCAGCTCTCTTAAGCCTAACACAAATTGATAGGGACACATGGCAATTCGACTAAAACTCAGTCGGAGGTCTGGATGGAATATATATAAACTATGCTTTATACCGAACAGTTCTCGAGATTAAACAACAATGGTAACACATAGCAAGCTCGCAAAAAGAGTTGTTCTACATAGTCCTTAAAAACACGAGGAAACTTTTTTTTGGATTGCCTCGTCCTAATTATTTATCCTTTATGCACTCCTGCAAGAGGTTATTTAACAACAGATTTTTTTCTTATAACATAATCATTTTATTTTTCCTCGCAAACACGATAACAGTCTGTCGAGAAACCTTGTTTACTGCGCTTTTTCCCTTTTTTTGCGGTTTTTTTTTAGTTATCTAGAAAAGTTCATCGCAAAGTAGTAGGCCACTAAATACGAAATTTTCATCATTGTTTACAGTGCTCTTTTTCATTTTTTTTTTTTTTTCGAAGTCCTTACAACATTTTTTTGTTTCCGTTTTGCTTTTTTCTTTCCTATATGACAAATCCTCCCGAGGGCTCGGCGCACACTTACGTGACACCCTTTGTCCCTTCACTAACACTGTTCACACCAAAGCACGCTCGGGGATTATCCAATGCAACTTCACGCACAACACGGCACGCACGTTTCCAATTTTATAACAAGACTTTCGTAAGAGCAATATAAAAAGGATTTGACGAAACAATGACAAAACAATTCGCTCGCGAATAAATTCGTTCACGAGCTACAGCGCTCATTGATGTCCATCGTGTGACGTGGTCCACCGATCAATAAATCTACTCTTTATGGCTGCGTTCCGATATTCACCGCCAGTATCTAAAACTTATAATATATGTGACATGAACTATATACTTTCAGTACTGGCAGTGAATATCGGAACGCAGCCTATAACTGCATCATTGGTCTAGTTTCCACCAATGTCTTCATTCCCTTCTACCAGAGAGAGAAACCTGAGAACGGACATGCCCGCGATTTAGCTGTAACTTTATTTTAAAGCGCCTGTATGTTCATACAAACGTGAACATTGAATTATGTAACCAATGTTCATGATCCTGTAATGTCCACGATTTTGTGGTTTGTTCCGTGCTATATGCAGGAGTGACAGTTAGATAAAGAGGCACGATCAATTTCTCTCCCTCCGTCCGGTCTTGCAAAACCGGAAATGTGTCGTATTAATTATTTATCACAATTCTAACAAATATAGTTAGTTAGCAAACTTCTATGCTATAATTTCTTTTGCGTTTTTACTGATCAATTTAGATCAATAGAGGCTCTCTACCATTCCCGCCAATTTCACTTCTTGGCGGTCCTCTTTTCTTTATATGCATATTTAAAATTTTTTATATTTATTATTTTTTATATAATATAAAAAAAATATTACAATATAAAATATAATTCAATAATATTCAATAAAAATACAATAAAAATACAAAAGTCTAATACAAAAAAAAGAAACATCATAATATCAATCAAATTATTGTGTGACAACACAATAATATAATACACCATAATACAACATAATATATCATAATATATAATACAATAATACAATTTGTATCGTTCGGTAACAAAAATTGTTATTATTCAGTCGGAATATTTATCGAATAATCTGAATTTGTGAAGGCTCTCCACCACCCCCACCAATTTTAATTGGCGGCCTTCTTTTTTTGCACGCATGTTTTAATTTATTTTAATATTTATTAATTATATACAATTAACAATTTTGATATCAAACAATACAAAGTTACAAAATTATACATTTTTAATGTATTATTTACAATTAAAGAAATCAATACAATAAACTAAGAATATATTTAAAGAACAGAATATAATTATAGATACATTTATATATATATATATATATACATGTCACCAAGTTAAATTCAGAAAAAAAATTATTAAGCGTTTAAAATATCAAAATTTATTTATTATATTTTGTTCTTTTTACAATAGTTTGAACAGATTTATAAATTTTTAAATTATTAGATTAAATAAATTTTTAAATTATTACCCTACCTACTCAAACTTTTTAGTATCCCTATCCACTCGATTGAAAATTTTATATCCCTACCTACCCGTATTATTTTTAATTAACATTTATTAATTTTTTATAATTACATTTAAATATAATTATATAAAAAATATAATAAATATATTCTGTGACAAATTTATTTAAATAAAATTAAATAAATTCATTATAGAATTATTAATTTTTAAACTATATTTCCTTATTTGTTTTAATTCTTTCCCACCCGAATTCTTACCCACCCAAATTTAAATACATAGATCTATAGATAGTACTATAGTATTATCTACAGATAGTATTACAGTACTATCTATAGATAGTACAGTACTATCTGTAGTGCAGACACAGAGAACATTCTATCATTCCCCCCCAATTACGTGCAATCGCACGTATAAAAATCTTATGAAGTACTTACTTATTTTTGGTTATTATTTATATATAAATTAACCTTATGTGATTCTTCAGGCCAGATTGGACTTACCTTTTGTTGCTCCTGGCCACGTTGCTCCATCGTTGACTTGGCCACATAGCCAGAGATAAGGAAGGAGATATCTTCTTCAATTACCGGCTAATTATGCCAGTAGATTCTTTATATCGATGCGCGTATATGATGGTCGTACAATCGTGTCGATCAAGGGCCATTCAACATTAATAAAATATGAAATTTGTGATAAATAATAAATTTGTGATAAATCTTATAAAATTTACATGAAATTTTGAAAGCTAATTTAATATCGCGTTTTCATAGCATGCGTAATTAGTCTTTGATTTAAAATAAAAAACTCGATTACATTTGATAAAAAAAATTTAAGAAAATTAAATAATAAAAATTGAAAAGTAAAAATAAAAATGATTGTGATCTATATAATTAATATATAGTCAAAGAAAAATATATTCAATGAAAAGAAAAAATCTAAAGCCCATATATATCATCCGTATTATTCGCGTACGATCGAAACCGTTTATTTAAACCGTTTATTTAAATCTCACCACACAGAGGGAATGATTTCTTTAGATTTAATAAACTGTATTAGATTCAAAGATATTTATTTTTTTAAATAATCCAAACATCAATCAATTATTAATTTTACAAATTCGATTGTTCGATTTTTTAAATAGCTTTATTTCAAATAAAATATTTAATAAATTGTTTGCAAAATAATAATGCGCTCTTTATTTATGCTTTAACAATATTAAAGAATCTCTTTATTGAAACAATATTTAATCTAGCCAAACAAAGTATTATTTGATTCAAAAATAAATTTTATTTCTTTTAAATAATGATGTTTTTTCTATTAAACAACATAGTATATTCTAACAAAACAAAACAAACAAAACTTTTAATTCAACAAACTGAATTTTAATACAAAATTGTTGTTTAAGTTAAATAAATTCAAGTCAAACAAACAGAAATCTAAATCTAAAGAAATCTTTTTCTCAGTGCTTGAATCAGGTGAGAATGACATAAAAGATTCAAAATAAATGACATGAGATTCGAGCGAGATAATAAATTTCTCGCATAATCAGTAATCAGCTAATATTAATGAAATTGTTACGATTTTATAAATTTTTTATAAATTGTTATAAATTTTAAATGCTAAATATTGTATCTACATAATTCATCAAATATAATAATGTGAGTAATAATAAATTTAATACATAATGTAAATAAAAAAATATATTAACAATACTTGTATTAAATTAGAATTTAAATTAAAAATAAATTTTCAAAATTTTCAATACAAAATAATGTATTTTAAATAAAAATAAATTAATAATTTAT